AGAGAGAGAGAGAGAGAGGATCCGGCGAGCAACAACCTGGCGGCCGCTAATGGTACCCCGAGAGCGCGGCCGCTCCACTGGTCACCTTTGCGCTCCCAAGCCGCTGCATCTCCGCCGTTGCCCGCAGTATCTCTTCGCGCGACGTCTCGAGCACCATGCCGCCCATCACCATCTCCATCAGCAGCAGCTGCACCTTGTCGGAGTGGAAGATGAGGTCGAGCTCGCACACATTCTCGAAGGTGCGGTCTAGCGCCTCGACGAAGACCTGAATGAGGTCGAGGATCGCCAACTGGGACTCGCTGCTGTCAACGATGAAGACGAAGCACAATGTTGCGTAGTGGCGGTACACCACGCGCGTGTCGGGGGTGGGCCAGTCGCGGAAGTTGTCGACGAAGTTGCAGAGATCGCCGCTGCGCCTCGAGATGAGGCGGTGGACGCGGCGCACGAGTTCCTGTTGGAGGCCCAGCGGGATCTCCTTCTCGTACACGTTCAGCAGCCGTATCTTCCCGGCCATGTTGATGATGATGACGGCCTTGATCATAGCTACCTCCCTTAGAGTTGCTGCTGCTGCTGCTGGTGGTGGCGGTTCTTCCGCTTCTTCCTCCTCCTCGCTGTCGCAGTAGAGAGCGAGAAGCTGCACGAGCGCACCAACAGGGGGAGACACATGCGTTTGCGTGAAAGAAAGAAAGAACGAAATAAAGAAAATAACAAATAGGTGACGGATGCTGCGACAAGATCCCAAGGCATCAGGGCACACATGATTTCTCATTCTCTTTCTCTTCAATTTCAACCTCTCTCTTTCTCTCTCCCTCTCTCTGTGCACTGAGCCTTCATTTTCTGTGATTTTCCCTCCTTTTCGAGCATAGCAACAGCAGTCACTCGGCCTCTTCTTCTTCGTCCGAGTTTACCGTGATGACTTCGCCAGCACCCCCTCTGGCTTTGGTGGGCGACTGCACATGCCGCAGCGTCGAGGCACCGCCACTCCGCCGCTCTGGTGAGCACAGTGCCGCCTCTGCTGCGTGCTGGCCGTACAATTCACCGCCTGCATTTGGCCGCAGCGGCGTACGTCGGTGGGACTCGTCACACATCCGCATCAAATCGTCAACGCCCATTGCATCCACTGCGGGCCGCTGCGCCAGCACAATTGATTCTGTTTGGGTGAACGGTGACGTTTCCCCAATGACTTCTGGCACGATTGGCGGCTGAAGCCTCTCTGGTTGTTGCTTGGGATCAGGAAAGAGCGCAAGGGAGTGCGTGTTGGAGAGCCGTGCAATCCTTGCGGCGAACGATGGATGCACGAACGCCGTCGGATCGTACGTGGCACATGTGTTGCCCGGCTGCTGCGGGCTCTCTGGCACCGTATGCACCAGCGGTGGCGCGGAAATTCTGCTGGGAGCAGCAGAAGCAGGCATCTTGAACAATGTCTTCTTTGGGAGTGATGAGGCTGCCGTTGTTGTTGCTGTTGTTGCTGCCACTGCCGGAGTTTCTGCCGCAGGTTGCGACGGCGCTGCCTGCAGCGGTTTTTGTGGTGTGCCATCGGAGTCCAGCATCAAGCGCACGCCCCCCCTCAGCAGGACATTGCTGTCGCGCGCCTTGAGCGGGGTATCATCGTCGTCGATGACTTGTCCAGCGCGTATGTCACCACGCGGCAGTCGGTTGCGGCCGGCCATTGCCGTTGTTGTCTGCCGCAGCATCTCCTCCTCCGCGAGTGTGAGCTCCTCCACATCGCCAATGTGCTCGTGGCGGAACTGCCGGTAGAGGCGGAGGATGTCGGCGCCAAACTTCTTAACCTTATTCTTGCCGAGCCCCTCGAGGTCGGCGAGCTGCGACACGGCGCCCCAGCCGGGCTCCGCCAGCGTCGCGACAAGCGTCTGCATCGTCTTGCGCGGCATCACGTTGTACTGCCGCCCGCCCTCAGAGCGCTCGGCGAGTGTGCGCACGAGTGCCTCCACCTCTGCAAGGAGGGCAGCCTCCAGCTCCTTCAGCCGCGCCGCAGGCAGCACGGCTACTCGAGCTGCTGATGCTGGCGCTGCCTTATATGGCGTCCCGCCCAACGTGGACGGCGCCGTTGTGCTGCCAGCCGTGAGCCGCACGTCGCTCTCCCCCGCGGCGTAGGTCGACTCGGAGGGCGAGCGTATGTGGCGCCGACGCCGCTTCCGGCGGGGCGGCGAGACCGACGACACCGACGAGACGGATGACGACGACACCGACGAGCCTTCCGTCACGAACCCCGCGAGCGAGCCATCTTCGTCGTCGTCATCATCAGAGGCAGCAGCAGCGGAGGAAGACGTCGCATCGCACTCCGTCAACACGAGCCCACGGCCCGCAGCCCTCCGTCGCGCCCCACCCTTCGGAGCGCGTGGCTGCTCCTGCGGCTCTTTCGTGTCGGCGGTAACGCGGCGTTTCCGCTTGCCCGTTGCTGTTTCAGTCGCCTGTGCACTCTTCTTGCTACCCTTCTTGTTTTTGGTGCTGCTGATTTCGGCCTGTGCTTCTGCAAGAGACAGAGCCTCATTGGCAGCACGCGCCTCTCCAGGTATTGCAGCGCCGCTGCCTCGCTTCCCTCGCACGACTATGGCGACGCCGCGGCTACCGTTCAGCACATCCCTGTACGCCTTGCTGCCCGCCCCTTCGCCCGTCTCCACATACGCGTAAGTGGCAAACTCGGAGAGCCGCTCCAGCCGCTCGCGGAAGATACCGCACAACAGCCCCTCGAGGATGACACGCTCGAGGAGGTCCTTTGCGTGGCGTGCGCCCAACTTGTACTCTGCCGGCGCGCCCTTCTGCCGCATGCGCGTCTCGACAGCCTTGCCGACATCCGCCGTGCCGCGGTAGACGGCGATCAGCTGCCGCGACGTGAGGGAACCGAGGTGCACAAGGATGTTGAACAGGTCGATGACAATCGCGGAGACATCCAACGACGTCGTCGCCCACTTCTCGCTCTTCTTGCTAGCGCAGTTGTCGCACACCTCCACCGATCCCTCCGACTGCGTCAGGCAGTAGTGCTCGTCCACGTGCTCGCCAAAGTGGCCGAGCTGCTGCATCCGACGGCAGTGCACGTCGTTCACGGTGTAGGCGAGCATGCGGTAGAGAGAGATCATGGAGGCCTTCCAGTCATTGCTGCCGTAAATCATTTGTTCTAGCCGCTGCTTGTCACTTGTCGAACATAGCAGTATGCACTCAGAGGGCAGACCGTCACGTCCGGCACGGCCACTCTCTTGATAATAGCCTTCAATAGACTTGGGCATCGCCGCGTGGATCACAAAGCGCACATCCGGCTTGTTAATTCCCATTCCAAAGGCAATAGTGGCACATATCACCTGCAGCTCATCTTTCGTCCAGCGCTCCTGTTTTTCATTCTTTCCGCTCGCATCAGCATGGTAGTACGAAGCACGTATTCCCGCAGCGGTCAACTGCGCCGCCATCTCTTCGCAGTTCTTTCGCGAAAGGCAGTACACAATGCCGCATGCCCGCGGTGGGAAATGATGCTTGATGAGATCCACCACAAGTGGTGCGACCGTGCGCCCAACCTTCCGCACGGAGTAGCGGAGATTCGAGCGGTTGAAGGATCCCTTAAAGATGAGGGCGTCACGCAGCCTCAGCGTGGCGATGATGTCCTGCTGCACCACATCTGTCGCCGTCGCTGTGAGTGCGGAAATCGGCGTTGTAGGGAACTGCTGCTTTAGTATCGACAGCTTGCGGTAGTCGGGGCGGAAATCGTGACCCCACTGCGACACGCAGTGCGCCTCGTCTACGACGAAGCGACTGAGGAGCGCACGACTGGCGAGGTGCACGAGACTCCGCACAAAGTGGTCGCTGCGGCCGAAGTACTCCGGAGTGACATACACCAGCGTGTGCACGATTCGCCCCGACGCCCACTCAGCGTAGATGGCGCGCCGCAGCGCATCTGATGTTTGCCCCGTCAGCGCCATAGCGGGAATGTCGTTCGCGATGAGCGCGTAGACTTGGTCCTGTATGAGCGAGATGAGCGGGGATATGACGATGGTCACCTGCGCCGGGTTTGGTAGCAGCGCGGGCAATTGGTAACAGAGCGACTTTCCGCCACCAGTCGGAAGCAACACAAAGGCGTCACGGCCGTCCATGCAGGCGTTCATGATCTCCAACTGGAGGAAGCGGTACTGATGCAGGCCGAAGACATCAATCATGGTGCGCCGCAGGTCAGCTGACCACGGAAAGATCTCCCCACCATATCGGTTGATGGGATTGACAGGGAGTTGCACAGGCGCCACCTGTTGTTGCTGCTCTTGCAGGTAGGATGGCGCCTGCTCGTACGACTCCCAACTGAACCGGTGCTGCGCATTGTCTGTTGTAGACCCTGGCTGGTACGACGCTCCTCCGTATCCATCGGATGGGTTCATTGTATGCGTCCCAGTTGAGAAGTCAGTCGACCCACCACAGCCCCCCATTGTGTCAACCGCACATGGAGTGGTGCCACTCATCTCGAATGCGCCGCTACTCCGGTCAAGGAACGACGACGAGCCACTGCCATGAGGAAAGCCGGTCAAACTGCCGTAGTTTTCGCCGCGGATGGGTGCTGCCCCAGTCGCAGAAGCAGCGAAAGCGGCAGGACCCGACGTCACAGAAGCAGGAGAAGGAGGGATAAACGAGACCCTCCCATCAACAAGGGATACCGGACTGCCACTACCACTAGGTGGAGGTCGTCGAAGCAACGCCGCCTGAATGTGCCGAAGACGGAGAAACTGCGCCTCCAACTCCGCCACAACGCGATCCGATTCGGCAATCGCCTGTGTGGTGTCGTGCTCCTCATCCTCCTGCAGCACAAGATCGTCACGGTGCCGCTGCGCACGCCGCAGCTTCTCCGTGACTTCACACAGCTGCGCCTTCACCTCTGGCAATGTTGGGGACGATGACCCCGCCG